GCAGACGACTTGAGCCAAAATGGCTTTTCTTTCTTGCTCTCTCTCTCTCTCTCTCTCGCTCTTTCGCTCGCTCTCTCTACAGGGCCAGGGCATGGCGAGAGCGGTGCTCCATCCACTCTCGCCGTGCGTGTTCGCACACCCGCAAGTCATGGGCGGGCACGGGCTTTGCTTTGCTCGGGGTTCGAGCTGCAGGCAGGCCCTGCAGCCGCGTTCGCGCTACCCCATCCAGTATTTTCACCGGATGGGCTCAACTGTACGAGGGTACGGCTGTTGGGCCGCGGTGAGGTGGGCGAGTGCCTCCGTGGGGGCAGGCACTTCCTCGCGGGTGTCCCGCGTGCCCGGGCTCTCTCTTCTTCTTCTTCTTCTCCGGGGTCCAGGGAGGCCCCCCACGCCGTATGGCGCGCCCCTGTTGTTGGGGCATATGGGGAGGCGGTAAAAAGACATGGACTTCTTCTTCCACACAGTCAAGAGCACGGCAGGCACCGCACTCCGCGCGCGAGCGCGCACTGGTTGTCTGGTTGCTATGTGCGATGATGGCCGAGGGGTGCGAGCAGAAAACCACTAAAACTACGTTTGACCCCCGGCCTCATCAGGTGCATACCGGCTCTGTCCCCCCCTCACGCAGTTTGTTACTTACTAACAACTCGCAAGAGGGACTGGGAGACCTCTGTTCAAGCAGGCAAACAAAGTACACAACATTCACACCACAGATTCACATTACATGGAGTTCCAGTTTGAGGTCCCCCTGTTTCTCCTGTTTTCAGAGAAGCCGGAACTGCACTGCACGGACCCACATGACCATGTTCCCCTCGTCTAAGCCTGCTACATCATCGTCACATGGTCAATCACTGTGTGAAAACTTGGATTTCTCTCTCTCTCTCTCTCTCTCTGCTCGACTAGCGCCGTCTTGCTCTCGGACCTTGCCTTCAAATGATCTCCAGCCATGGATATCGCCAAAAGCAGCCCTTCCTGGACAGAGTCGACAAGAGTGTCCAAGGCCACTTCTTCAAAGCATGTCAATAACCCGCATGCTTACGAGATGTTGCCTGAGATCACTTGGTGGATTCTCGGAAGGACCGCTCTGGAATTCTGGCCTCGCCAAAGGCAGCAGAAGCCGAGTTCGCTTATGTTTCAGACCTCGCTGCTCTTGCTCTGCCTCGCTTTGATGGCAGCTCGTGGCCGGCAAAGGGGGCTTTATCACAAGGCTGGCTTTACTGCGTGATCTTCCTGTGCGCCCTAGAGCGGCATCGCTAACACCTTAACCCCGCGTGTGGCGCCTAGGCAAGCAATGTATCACTCGTAAGACCCTGCATCGGGTCACCAAGACTTTGGAAGTTAAGGAACCTAGAGTTGCTTTACTCGTGCTGTCTGTATTTCCTCCTGCAAAAGACAAAAGACCTGGGACCAAGCCTTGGGCATGAGCAGAAAGGCCGGCCAGGATGCACTGCAAGATGTGCCAGGATCGCCGCTGAATCCCGCATGTCGCAATGTGATAAGCGGAGCTAAACCCTGGAAAACAGAAAAGCAGAAGCAAAGCTCGTGGAGTCCGGCACCCATCAGCTTCAGCCAAAGCTTCCGGCGCTCCTCAGCAGGCAGCGCCAGCGCACACTCATTGGACTCGCGATATGCTGATGCCGGAACAGGCAGGAAGCGTCCTTCTCGCCGTAGGTCTCACCGATGTAGGACATGAACCACCTAGTGCCGAAAGAACCCGCATTGCATCATGTGCACTCAGACTCAAGTGCCGTTGTGTTAGTCATGCCAAGTTTGAGACCGCAAAGAACGCTTGCTGCCAGCTCCGTCGTCCTCCCCGTCGTTCTGCTGAAAATTGGAACTATTTTTGTTGACCTTAAGTGGCCCACCCAACGCCGGCGACAACGCTCGTGCGTGTATCTCGCCGATTCGAGGGTCTGAGTGGCCTGCTGCATAGTTAGTGAGATGCATGCACTTCTCGTTCCTCAACATATCTGGAATGACAGAGTGCGTGCGCGGTCATGCAACTTTGGATTGGAACGGCACTGCCGGATGTTGCACAAGATGCTGAATTTGCGGCAGGAGGCATGGTCTCTGCAGTGGGAGGCTGGTACGGCGTTGTGCACAACCGCACCTGCAACTGTGCAAGGCCAGGCTTATTGTGAGGTCCTCATGTCCGCAGCGACAAGTCTCTGCAGCTGAGCTGCCAGTCCGTCACGGAAGAGAAAGCAGCGCAGGTCGAGCCCAGCTTCCCCACTGGCCTTCCAGAGATTAGAATAAATAAGTTGGTGAGGAAGCGAGGTGTTGCGTAGTTTCCTTCCGCTTGTTGGCACAATGCGCTGTCTTGCGAACATCGTCAGCTACTACTAGGAAACCGACGAGTGCTACAGCGTCTTCTGTAACGTGACACTGCCCGCCTTCTTGGCAGACACAAGGAAGTATAAGCGCAAGTCAAACTTGAGGCCCTCTATCAGCATCGGCCTCATCAGAGAGAGAGAGAGAGAGGCAGAGAGAGAGCGTTGCTCGAACTCCTTTTCCGCAACACCAAGCCTTACAGAAGAGTGCCAGCAACTTCTTCATTTGTGAAAGAACAGTGCTTCCATGTGCTTCCGCATAAAGCTTGAGAAAGCGGGCCTCGAGAGGTATCTCTGGACGACAGTGGCCTCTACAGCGTGCTGTGCACTGTGCTGTGCCGTGCTCGCATCGCGGGAATCGTGGGTTCCGCTGTGACCGGCCTCGTTCTTCTTGCGGCTCTCTTCTGCTGCCTGCCGCAGACCTCGCAGCAAAGTCCCACAAAGAAGGGATTTTACAGCTCGTTTGGGTCTCGAGAGGAACTTTCGTGCTCGATCATGTGGCTGCGGAACTGAGACTCTGGCGATCGAGCTCTGTGGTTAGGAAGATGCCCCGGCCCTGAACCCCAGTCACCCACTTTCCACAACTGGAAGCGGAATGCTTAACCCCTACGACGGTTGTGCCTGGCACAGATGATCTGGCTTGACAATGTAAAAGACCTTCCCGGGCGACTCACAAGTGTCTTCGTTTGATGAGGTGTATGCAGAAGGCCTTGGATTCCTGACTGTTGCCAAATCTCTTCTCAAGGTCTGTTAGATCATCAGGAATGACCTGACAGTGTCAGGCTCATGGTGTGTGAGTCAGGGTGGGCTCGAGCATGTCTCGGCACGTGGCCCAAGTGGGAGGAACAAAACGATAGGCTGCTGGAAACATTCTTTGCATCCGCGTCATATTCCTGACAGACACTTCAGAAACGATGTACCCTACCACCAAACTTCGAGATCTGTCGTGTAGTCCAGAGGGATTCTTGGAGAGGTCCTTGCCAGGCGAGTCTTTCGCGCCAGCGCATTATTCATTCCTCCGAGGGCCATGTTTCGATGCTGCATCCGTCGGTCACCAGCACCCCGCAGCGAAAACCGACTCTGCCTGGAAAATGGTTTATTCTCATCCAGGGCTCTACCTGCAAGGAGCGACCATGTCTAACAGCAACGCAGTCTCATTCTCAGATTCTCGCTCGTCGCCTTCCTCATCCAGTCTCCGATGTTTGCATCGTCGATCCAGTGAATGTTGCACCTGCGAGTGAACGAAGAGTGGGCCAGGATGGTGTTGGGAAGATGCACAACTTAGGCCATAACATCGCAGCCTGACAGTAGCATCGTTGGCAACAACTTAAAAGTTGGGATTGCGTTGCACCTCTAGCCCGCATCTCAGAGTGACCCACCTTCTCTTCGCACTTCACTACACGCCATCCTCGCTCCTCAGCGGCTTGCGCAACAACCTGGCTGAGCAAAGCCAAAACCGAACAGAACCATCCCAAGCAAGGACCAGGTTTTGCCGGCCTCATAATCGCTGTGTGAAGCGTTGAACTGGACGAGGCCGCCTTTTTTCCGCGGCCTCATGCTCAACGCAAAACTCCAGAAGCGTTGCCCTCCCCGTAACTTCCATGCTCTTCCACTAGACTTCGGAGCCGGGCCTCCCAGCTGTTAAGACATGCTTAATCTGTAAACGCAGAAAGACTTGTGGTTGCCTGCTCTTGGTGTCCTATTGCTGTAGGTAAGGAGAATCAGCAAGACCTCCATGATTGAAACCCATTGCAAGTCACGACAAGCTAGCTGCAGGCTTTGCGCAGCGGATGTTTCAGACTTTCATTCTTTATGGGGCATGGCCAGCGAAGCTCGTGATTTCGAACCCAGGCCTGACAGTGGAAACTTCCGCCGGTGTCCTAAGCTGACCGAGCGGAAGCGGAGCGGAAGATGGTGGAAGTGCACCCTCGGGGCAGCACACGCTGCAGGACCGCCGGGGTGAGTTGGAGCCTTAGTCGCGAAGCTGTCTGGGGCATCACAGAGTTCCCATTCACAGCCGAGAGCGCAGCTCGGCGAGCCGGGGCGCGGCGAGGATCGCCTTGCAAAGTAGTCGAGAGAGGACATCTTATGACATCTTAGACTTCGAACTTGGAACCTCGAAAGCCAAGGCCGAGACGAGGCAACGGAGCGCGAGTCCGGGGAGGGTGATCGCGTGGGCCTGGGCAGGCAGCACGATTCTTCCGAGGTCGAGGTCTGTCACGGGGGGTGCGCTGCGAATCTGCTTGAAGATTTTGCCGCTTTGCACGCAACGCATGGTGCTACCGTCGCACACTGGGTCAAGCAGCTCGCAAAGCTCACGGCAAGAGAACTTCGAGCTGCTCAGTCTATCGTGTTCCCTATGTCGATCAGCACCTTGCCAGATGCTCGTCCCTTCTCCAAGTACTCGTGGGCCTGCACAACCTCCTCAAGCGGGAAGGAACGATCCTGGCGAATTGGAAAGCCGAATCTCACACGCGACGAACTCATCAACATTATCGGGGCCGCATATGCCGCACGGTCCGAGAAACGGGCTCTAATCAAGGCCCTGCCGAAGTTATTTAGTTATCCGGTACCCTTGGATGGGTCCCAATGCGCCAGGGGTTTTAAGAAGTGGAAGTGCTGCACCCGCTTAACAGCAGTATCTTCGCTGCAGTGATTGTTCGTCTCAGTGCTCAAGATGTGCGCCAGGCTTGACTTCTTGCCAACATCATTGTCGTTGATTCCAAGACTCGGAAAACAGACCTGAACAGTTAAAGCTCGGTTAGAGGCCGCGTGGGGGTTCTGCAGCATTCTGCAGCCTTGGTAGACTTCCACACTGACTTCCTGCTTATGCATCCTTATGCATGAGTCCAAGGAGCCACGACCGGCTTGATGCTGCCTCCGCACAGCGGAGGAGGGTTAGCTCAGCAGACGCAGACTCAGAGACTCAGACTGTGCTGCAGGCCTGCGTCGACCCAGCTGGCAATGCTCCGCAAGCCAGAAGCATCGGGACTGACCGGGTCGCAATGATAATAGACACCCAGACCTGCATGGCATAGATTCTGGAAGCCCCTGCTGCCTCAACCTCAACCTCTTTGCATGAAGACTGCAGCAAGGCTGGGTCTCCGTCCCAGGTAATCTGCCAACAAACTGTTGCCCCACTTCCTGCGCATGGCAACTGTTGGCAGAAATCCGAAGAGACTGGAAGACTTCCGTAGGCCGTAGAAGGCTGCAGGAAAACCCGGAGGTCTTGAGAAGCGGTCGCATGACCGTCAGCGGGCCCAGCTCACCATCATGCGGCTCCCAGTCGCTGCTCAAGATGTTGATGTAGTGTCCCACACCTGCGAGACAGGGAAGACACGACCAAGTCTGACCATCTTCAACTGAGCTCCGCGAGGCCTGGCTTCAAGACTTGCGAAGACAGCGTGCGAGCTTCGTACTCCTCCAGCTGCTGGGGGCGTGGGGCGACATGAAGAATGGGAGGCTGCCTACATCCCAAATGGTCGTTTGAAAGCTTTCGCATTGCAGGTCATCCTGTATTAATTACTCTAGAAAAGTTCGGGCGAGGGGGGTTGCGTCCACACTGGGACGCGTGTGACAGGCGAATCCACAAAGGCATGCGGGAGAGAGAAACCTGATGTGCTTTCCGAGCCAGCAACAGGGACAATGAACAGGGACTGTTGCAAACTCCGAGATCTATGCAAGCCCTGACTAGGTGAAGGGCCACCTTAACACAGGCACAGGACACTCGAAGAGAGCATCTGCTTCTGAAGCTTTCTAGCTCATATCACAGCCGTCCCTCTCAACAGGATCCCCAGTTGGAATGTGCGGAGACTTGATACCGGCAGCACCTGTGTCACTGGATCGAGGACAGCGTCGAAGGCTGTCAGCACATCTTCGAACTTGGACGTCCTATAGTTGATGACTTGGTCAGCGCCAAGACCTCGGCTGTGGCAAGCCGAAATTTAGCTCGGCTAGCAATGCATCCCGATTCTTGCGGTGTATATCAGCCTGATGCAGTTCAGCAACTCTTGACCAACTCCTCCTTGGCGGCGCTCGCGGTGGTGGCCACGTGCATGCCCAACCTGTACTTGGAGTACGTGCTTTCAGCTGGAATACTCTAGGTGTCCACCGTGCAAGAAGATATTTTGCATGTCGAAGGGCACATTCTTGCAGTACTGTATTGCAAAGGAGCCCACCCCGCCGGCACCAGCGTGGATCAGGATCTTCTTGCCCTTGCTCGACTCGCCGTTTCGTTGCCAAGTCCGGAGGACAGGAGCCAGGGCCTGTACGACGGTGAGCCCGACCAATGGCAATCCTGCTGCTTCTTTTGGCGAAATTTTCGATGGTACGTGCGCGATGATTGTGTAATTCGTAACCACGTACTCCTGGAAAGCGCCCCAACTCTGGCCCTGCAGCGGCAACATACCGTACACAGTGTCTCCAGGTCTGAATCCAAGAACACCCGCTCCGATCTGCTCGACTTTCCCCGAAAAGTCGAAGCCCGAAACGGCCGGCAACGGCCTGATGTACTCCACTGTCGGGTTTCTTCTCTGCTTAAAGTCCACGGGATTCAAGCTGCCGGTTCCCACCTTGATAAGAACCTGTGTCGTTTCACAGCACATCGGTCGTGGGATCTGGGCCAGCTGAATCACTGCTGCTGGCCCCGGCTTTGCAAACTGTGCCGCACGCATGGTCTGTCTCGGATCTTGCAGCGCTGGCTTGTATCTGGGACAGAGCTCGTATCGAATCAGTTTCAAAACGCAATACAGCGCTTCTCAACCATGTCCCTGCCCTCATGCTCAAACCATGAAGCCAACATTCGTGCAAATGCAATGCGCAAACACCAGTAGGGTAACCCGATGTAACAAGTACTGCGGGACCACGAAGCTACTCAGCACTAAACACACACACACACACAGACACACACTCTGTCTCTGACACTGGGCATGTGTGGCCACTAAGCACTGCTCAATTAGCACTGAAGTGGAGTGCAGAACGCAGAGAAACGGTCCCAGCCTGCTGAATGATATAACTAGGATGCCGAGTTCATACGCCAGCACGCCCACGATCAACACCACGTGAAGGCAAAGCACTTTGACCAAAGAGGCGATGAAAGCCATTGCTGTTCAACAAGCTGTTGATGCAGAAAACTGAACGTTTGGTCTGGTTAGTGTCTGGTTTTGCCATGCGAGGACTAAGGTCTCAGGTCTGGAATGGTCTGGATACGCGTGGCGGTGTCGCTGTGCAGCCAGGCCATGCTGCGTTGCACCGCTGAGTCAAGCTTGCGGCCATGGCAAGAAATGTCCGGACAAGAGCGACATTGCAGAGGTCTCGGCACCAGCCCCTGCAAACACAGCGGGATATCTGAGACCTGGACGACGCTGATGGTGACTGCTGTGGCTCTGGCCATAAAGGCAGAGCTTCAACAAACATGCCTTAACGGCAAGGATTCACACAGCCATGTGTTTGGAGAGTTCTCGACATCAGCGCAAGTGGCCTTCGGCCCCTGCATCTTCCGCTCCCGCTTCATCGCTGAGGTCTTCCTCGCGGCTTGCATTTCTTACAAGACAAAGCAGACCTGATCTGAACCACCTTCAAGCTCGCAAGACGACACTTCGCAAATAGCATGTCGCGGTTTTTCATGGGGGAGGGTCATGAGCGAGGCTCATTTCCTCGTCTTCGTCGCTGCCGGCAGGTGGGCTGCCGCGTGCCTCTTCGAGATTTGGGCGAGCGCAGTGGCAAAGTAACGACCAAGCTCACTCCGCAGTGGTGTGCACTGTGCAGATGCTGACTGTAGAGTTTTGCAATAAGTTATGAGCAGAACTGTTAATGCGAATCGACTTAACGTTGCGCTGGACTCTGGAACGTCTGCATACTTTGCAACGGTGGTCTTTTGCTACAGTCCCACAAAGCACAAACAACGGGCTGGGGACGATGAAGATGCTATCCGGCTTGCAACTGGTCCATGGGCTGCTCCCAGCCAGCTTGCTCAACAGCAGTAGAATGTGATCCGTCCCTGGAGGCCTCCAGAACTTGCCTGGTCAAACATGCTCCGCTGGCAAGCATTTCCAATAGTTGCTTGTCGCAGACCATGGCGTGCACTCCCAATAGATCGACACATCCGGACACGCGGAGTGAAGTGACTGGGTTGGCTTCGGGGCTGAGCTTCGCTGATGCAAACCTAGGTTTCGGTGGCCATCAGCTGGTTTCTGGGATTGCAGTGGGCCATGTTTTCTGACTTGCTCCTGGCAAGGTGGACACGGATTGCTTTCGTAAAAGCGGTATCGGAACAATCAAGTGGAACAAGAGGGGCAAAATTCATAACGGATCCGTCCACCCGAGCGCCCATAATCACTGGTACTGTCTGCTGGCAGTTTCGTCTTCCTGTCACATGTGATCAGCAGCTAGGCCTTTTGCTCACGAAGTGAAGCGTGCTTTGATGATCCAGTCCGTTTCCAGAATTGCTGCTACTTCGTGCTGCCTTGATCCATCACACCTCAACAGCAAACTGAGCGCAAATGCCGACAGGCATGAATGTCCACAAGCGCCACTAAACTAAACTATGAGCAGTTCACCTTGTTTGACTCCTTTCATGAGGTATGCTACATACTGTATGCTCGACACTGCTGGGGTGAGGAACGTGTTGGATGCACAGGACTTCCAAAGAGTTCACCGGGGCCACATCTTGGGCACCTGGCTACGAGTCATTCCGAGCAACAGACATTCGATATTTCACGATGTGCTACATGAGAGTTCTTTGCGTTCTACAGAACCGCGATGCAGAACTCTCCACTTTTCGCACGACCGCGCTGTGAATGCCGGCGTGGTGGCGGCAGTGTTTATTGTTGAACAACTGCAGTTTCCGGACGTGCACCCGTTCTCTTGTCTACCCATTTCAACCACCACGCCGGCTAGGGCTATCTAGCAAAAATAAAGTCTGGGACCACACCCTCGTCGCCCTGGCCGCCCTCGGGTTCATGGTCATCCATTGCCCGTGAAGATGCAGTCGTCAGATCTTCCGGAGCTCTGTCGGGAACCAACTCGTCGTCGTCGACGTCGTCGTCCTGAGACTCCTCGGACTCGGAGGGGTCCGGCGACCTTGACTTGGAGCCTTTCGAGAAGCCTTTCACACTCTGACCTTTCCTCGATGTCGGCGGGATGGCTGGGACGCCTGGCGGCTGTAACGGCATCCTGTTGCCTTTTCCCTTGCCTCGCATCTCAATCTCCTCTTCACGCCGAAATGGCTTATGCACACGGCCCATCGCGAGCATTCTGGCTGTAGGTGGCGGTGTCCTTGCTCGCGTCTGTCGTGAAGGGGGCCCTCTGCTCCTGTTCCTTCTGGCACTCATCTCGTAATCGAGCGCCTGCAGCAGAGCCAGGATCACAACTCTCAGTCAACTATGCTTGCACAACAGGGATTCACCGGTTCATGCCCGCATATATATGCAGCTGTAATGTCCCGTTTGCTGCACAGGTCGGCTGCGACTGCAAGGAACTGCAATGACCTGAATGACCCACTTCCCACCTGGAAGGATTGGGTTAGCGCACCTTGCTCCTGCCAGGGAAGGATGTGTGCATTGTGCAGGCAGATGAGCTACTGGAGGAAGTTGCTGAACTGCCTGACTCCAGCATTCGGCCGACTGCGTGCGACCGTGCAAGTGGAGGCTTTTCGCAAGTGTACATATGCTTTGCATCAGCTCAACACGCATTCACATGTCGCGGCAGCATCTGGCTGACATGCTGCTCTGGGCCGCATGCTGAAGAACTGTTGGATTACGCGTTTTGATAGCTCCACGAACGGGAGAATCCCCAAGGACCCAAGGACTTTCCCTTCAATGCCTTCCTTCAACAAACCTCACAGCCATGTCCAACCGGATGCGCAATAGACAACAGATTGACATGGGCGATGTACTCCCTGCCTCGCGTATCTCGTCGTATACCTGCAGATGCTTGTGGTCTGATCCTCTTGCTGGTTCTTTCATGACTGGAGTCTGGGAGGCTTGTACAGCAATTCTCTCTCTGACTCTGGACGTCATGCCCAACTCCACGGCTACCTAGGACACCAGCGAAAATCCAAACAACGACATACACTGTGCTAGCTCTGTTCAACGGCCTGCCGATAGTCCAGGTGCGCTTGGATGAGCATCTCTGCTGAGTCCAAGTGATCGGCCAGTCCGACCATCTCCAGATCCTGCGAGCCGGGCGAGCTGTGCCACGGATCTTCCCATGTCTTGTGATTCAGCGAGTGGCTTCGGCTTTCTCCGCCGTTCGACTTCGGCCGGATCCAATCTCCGGGCTCGGGCTCAAAGCCAACAGAAGGCAGTCCCAGTAAGTTGGGTTCGACTACAGCTTCTCGCATCTGCTGACAAGTCAGTCAGACATGGCACAAGCAACGCCCATGAAATGCTGGTCACCCTCAGCACCAAGAGATCCAGCCGAGAGAAAAACGTGCTTTCAATTCTTCTCAAAGCCTCTTAGTCGGCAGCAGCTAACCCTCCCTTCGCATTGAGCGACAAAGAAAACCGGCACCGGACGAAAGACTAACAAAGGCTGCAAGCGGCTACAGCACTTCGACCTCGACTCGCCCTTTGGACTCTGGACGTCCAAATTAGCTCCTTTGACGTCGTGGGATCCCAGCGCATGCTCAGGAGTCCGGCCTGCACAAGCACATTCGCACCGCATCGCACCAGCCAAAACTTGTGCCAAGACAAAACTTAAATTTATGGTCGAAGCTCTTTGCACCCCTCATTTCTCCACGAGGCGTGCATCGTGCCAGCGGTGTTGCTGATGGCAGCGTTGCATAGTGCGTGTGCTTGGGATAATGACAAAGCTAACCTCCCTCACTGCTTCCGACTCCATGGCGGATCAATGTAGACTTGCAGACAGGTCGGTGGTCTCACGCCATGCCCCTACCTCGGACTATTGCCGAAAGCTTCTCTCATTGGACAGGTAAATCCCGATGCTCCAGCTGCCAGCGCTCGAGGTCTGCCTGCAGTTCCACGCCACCAGTTCCGTGCTTGCAATGTCCGGAAATGGATTGATCTGATGCTTACATACAACTTACAGTTCGACCCTGTCCAATGCAGGCCATGTTATTACCTGCCAAGGTATGCAAACTCGCGTGACCTCCCGTGACGCAGCAGACTCTACCGCGCCGCCTGCCTCGCGCTCCCTCTGCTGTGCAGCATCACTGAGCTCGTCAACTTTCTGGAGCACTGCCTGTCGACGGAGAAAACTAAGAGCAAAGCTTTGCAAGGCACCAGCACCAAGCACCGGCGGCGATGATCCGGGCAGGTCGAAACAAGCTTCCAAAAACATCACAGTTGCGCAGCACCCTGCCTGCCCCATCTCCCTTGCCTTAGTTTGCATTTGTTGCCCCAGTGTGAACACGTGAACGTGTGTGAACAACATGATTCGATGCTTTATCGAGAACGACACCTCAAGTTACTAGGGAAAACGCCTGCATTTCCTCCTTGTCCAGCTCCTGTAGTTGAGGAGCAATTGCTCGAAGTTGACCACTGCAACATGCACCGAAATTATTCCGTGGGTCTCTTGTCGTCCCGGTCGAAAGCAATTCTCAGTGAGGATCGGCCTTCTCTGACACACTCTCTGCAAAGGCAGTCCTGCTTGTAGCTTCGCTCCTTCTGCTTAGCCTTCTTCTGGAGATCCAATTTCTCTTGCTGACAGGAAAGGCACGGTCGGATTCAAGAAGTATCTGCAAACAGCCCGTCTTGTCAAGCCGTCAAGCCATTCACCCGGTGGTGGGCCGGCCTCGTCGTGCTGGCTGGCGGCCCACATCTGCTCCTCCTCCGCCCACTCCTATCAACGAAGCGAATCTTCAGAAGTTTTCCACCTACCAAAGCATACACTGTTTCAGATTCGTTGGTTCACCCAAACACTGCCGGTTCTTCCACAGCCCGCTGATTCCACCCTCCAATGCCCACAACCTGCAGCGAAGAGAGTGGCATCAATAGTGGGATGTTGGGGACCTCAAGATAGAGTATACCTGGTCAGGTTCATAGGCACGGATTCAGCACATCTTCTAACACCGGATGTCTCAGATCACTCAGGTATCCATACCCCAGCCTATACACGAATGCACAGCTCTGAGCCATGTCTC